GTAATGTTTCCCGAAAGGAAGAATAAGCAACTCTTTCTTGCTAAACCGAACGACGGCCAAGATTAACCTGGTGCAAATATATTGAAGGAGTCTGCTCCAGACTCCAGCTGTCTTCTGCCGAAGCAGGCTCTGGCATTTCGGGAACGTTGGAAGAATTCTCTGGCGTATCTACCTCCGCGATCCGAGAGGAGAAGTGGCTATAGAAGATGATGACGAAGAAGATGCAATCGACCGCTCAGCAGGAGCGGTATTTCAGGAGCTAGCAGACTTACTTGCTGCCGCAAAAATCGAAATTTTGTTATAGAAGCTTGATGCGTCATTCGGCCTACCCCACTGTACGATCACATTTTGAGGTTCATGCGGTTACGTACAAGGGCTAACAGCTCGTACAACATCATTCGAGAAGGAAAGAAGGTAGCTGCAACGAACAAAGTGACACAACGTGCAGCACTAGTTGTGCGCAAATTATATGGAGCCGTGGCCTGCTTATATGACTCGTCCTGGCGTGTAAATTTCACGCATTGTCAACGCTCTAGAACGAGAACAGTATTGACTGGTTGCTCTGCACTGCTCAACTGCTTTAATAATGCCTAATTTATTTGGAACAGATGCTCATCAAATTGTAACTATGGGCGATTGATATGACAACATAGTTCATGAAGTGAAGTAACGTTAAAGAATTCCATAACATTACAAAGTTTAGCAGTATCTTTTCTTACACTCTGATTAAAAAACAGAAAATCAGTCACTTTGTAAAGTTTCAAGCACTGTAATAAGAAACAATACCTTGAACAATTCCTTCGATGTGTGTCTACGATGAGAAGAGTGTTGAATTTCCTTAAATGCCTGTGATACTTAAGTAAAAATCCGGAATCAACAACGAGTGCGCGTTTACCCCTTTCGAATGAGCTTCGTCAGCTTGAGAAGACATAGACCGTCTACGCCTATCCTCTTTTCTGGCGTCTCTTTCAGAACCCGACGTTGAACAAGAGGATGGAGCACGATGTCGCAACACCTAGAAATATAATTTTAGTTTTATACTTAAAGTACATGTTTGTTTCACATACCTCTGTTGGGCTTAGCGATTCATGTCTACTATGAGGACGGACAGCAAGTTCTAAACAAGCAGACCAAATTCACCGGTAATCAGAAGTAGTTGTGGCGGTAACTGTTTAAACTAAGTTTCAGAGTAACGAGTGGCGAGTAACTAATCTATTTCAGTGACAGTATTGCTTTAACATTCTCTAAACAAGTGCGCTAAGCATTTTGCGCTAATCAAGTAGAGATCGTCAGCAAACTAAGGCTGAATTTAAAATGCAAGAATTCTACCTTAGACCGCAACCACGTTCAATCATTGAAACGACTACTGTATATGAAGTAGGTAGAAAAATCGGTCACCCTGCACCAGAATGTTTACGCAGCACCTGTATGCTCTGACTGAATATCCCCGCCCCCTTCCCATTTTTTACTATGAAAACTATGAAAATAGGTTCAAAACAGATCAGTGGTCAAAAACAAACAATTAGCTGTTAAGTAGCGGAACAAAGTGCCGCTAGGAGTGCGCTTAAACAGACGATTCGAAATTTTACTGTAGCCACATAAGCGAGGTCAAGAATACTCAGTCGTTAATGTGCCAGACGTGCAGCTTAAAGAGAGTGGTCTCGATTCCAGTCGATTAACTCACCTTTCCGATATAGACAGACGAGTGCCACATCACTGGAAAGAAACGTAATAAATGCTGAAGTGGCAGATTAGTTATAGTACTGCCTCCAAGAGACAAAGGTACTGATAGCATCTAAACGAAGATCGTCGCTGAACTATCTTTGAAAGAAAGTCGCGCAAACTATACTAGCCATAAAAATCGAAGGGAATTCTACAGCCCAACGATAACTTTTCGTTTTCGCTTCATAACTGTTAAATATATTACAAGGAATCTGGGGCTAAAATAACATAGCCCATAAGATATGAAATCGCACTGGCCAAAACAACTAAATAGCCTAACCCAAAATCAGTAGCATGCTTGTTCAATCGAGAGAGTGCTGGACTCGCAGCATAAACTTTGCGGGTTTAACTTCTGCCTGAATACCAGTGTTTCATTCTTATGAGGTAAACATACGTGCATAATTTCATTAGAAAACAAGAGATTGCATGCAATAGTAACCACTTAGCTATAGACGCTGCATTCACAATTAAGGCAATCATCGCCGGTCTGTGCGATAGAAATGATAAGGTATAGGAAAGAGCCGTTTCATAAATGAGTCATCGAAAAAACGCACGGGTGGCGGATATCACAATGGCCATAATACTTTCTATGATGAATCCTTACGATGGAGAATAGGTGCTAGAAGCTTGAAAACTACTATATACGTTAGATTAATATTTAGTGCTGTTCGACATCAGATATTTGAGTTTCATAACAAACCGTTTAATGTAGTACCAATATTTCACAGTTTTGCAGAAAACGATGAAACTATTGCGAAAAAAGACTATGGTTTATCGATTTAGAAGAAGAAAACATTTTAACGTCTTCATCACATCAAACTTCGAAAATAACCACGAAAACTCGACTTCACTGCAATGAGGCAATTTCAATACTGTTTTTTACAAATAGTGAAAAGCACTATACTGAAACTTATTAGACTGACTGGCATTAAGCAGTCTAAATTATTCTTCTGCTAGTCATCTCCATGACCTGAAAAAATAAGCGATAATCGAAACTAACTTACTAATTTAGTCGAGTAACAGTTTAGTTGAGTCACGCTTATTACACTTACCATCGTCGGCGTTTGTCGATTTACTGCCAAACGGAGGCCTCCCCAAGATTCTGCCATATACTTTGCTTTGTCATTTTGATCCATCTAGATCCAGAGAACTTCTTCAGATTATCCTTTCACTAGTCAACCAGTCAATCTAAGGGTCTTCCTAAAGGCCGTTTACACTCTCTCAGAATACAGTCTAACCACCCTCTAGTCCACTGGTATTAGATTCTTCTTGCAACGAGATCATTAAGACTTTAACTTATTCAGTGAAACAATGACATCGCAGACTCTAGATTGTGCTCTTTTTAATTCATTCGTCTTCCAACCTTTTCTTATTATTATCGGCATACACCTTTTTTCATGCTGAATTCGTTGTTTGCAGTTTATGAATAGCTTGAAAACTGAGGGTCCTCGTTTAAAACCTTTAAGTTACCACTGGGAGCACAATGTGATCGATAATATCCGCTTCATGCACAAGGACAGTTTAACGAATAAGAACGTTTTTAATCTTCTAAACGTGCTCTCATTTTTGTTATTCTGATGATTTCACATAATCGATTTTCCGCTGCAGAGATAAATTTCCACAGACATATGTAGTCATGCACTTAAATTCAGAACGCTTGTAAGAAAACACCAAAGACAACCAGAACTTTTCAAATTATGTGGTCGCAGCAGAGTTTCTACGACTACGGCAGCTTTGTGAATCGTTTTGTTTGCCATAATTTAATTTAACTGATTGTTATTTAATTTGCGCATTCTTCCTTCTCATCGGCGTTGAAAGATAGAATTCTTTGGTGAATGTGTTCAACGTACTGCCTTCAACACTTAAGATTAACATATTTCTAAATTATATTTGGGCTTACTGCCGCAAAAGGTGACATTTTTACCATATTGCTATGTTAGTATGCATAATGGAATTGTGCTTACTAGTATTTTATGATACGTATTAAGGAGACTACCGGCATTTTGCAGTTTTGAAGCCATTCAATATTGGAGTAGTCATTTAAAACTGCTTCACCGTTTACTATAAGAAATTAATAAACATGCAATGATTAGACATTTGACGTGGAGACTAACTGATTAATGTTTGTCCCAGATATGCAATTCATCTGGAACTTTCATACTGACACCCAAAATCCAATATCGACAAACCTAATGCTCCGAAAACTATTAGCCTGTAAGCAATGTTGCTACTGATTTTGACGTCTCCAACACGGAGTTAGAAAGGTACTAATTAATTTCCTTTATGCCTTGCATTTACGCAAAGCAGCATGAATTATGTTTGTACTTTGCTGAGGCAGAGAAATGGTCGACTAAATTACGTGTTAAACGAAAGACTATAAAACCATTGTAATGCGCCAGACGAACTGCACAGTTACTAACAGCACACAAAAAAGCGGCAACCGAACCGTATCACTGACTACCTTCCACAGATTTGCTTCCTGCCTCGGCGCCATCGAGTACCGGCGACTGATCAAAGTCCTTCGCTGCTTTCTTCAGCTCCTCGTCAGACGACACATCAGCCCGTTTCGATGACGGCGACTGTTCAGTTGATGAAAGGCTTGCTCTGTCCTCCCGAGTGATATCTTGTGCAACGTCACTGTTTCTTAATTCTGCAAAACAATCTTATTATTGTCTTAACAATGACAATAACAATCATAACATTAAAAGCCGTGATAAGTCATAAGAAATGTAACTCGTAAGCCGTGAGAAATAGCAGAAACGGCTAATTAAGCTCTTCATAACGCAATAGGTCTATCTTATATAAACCCTAAGCAGTGTATCGACTTGTCGCACAAACCTTCAAGAACGAGTGAGCGGTAATTCTTTTTGCAGTAGTCGGCTGTAACTATTGCGGAGCTGGAAGGTCAGAAAAGTAACTACCCTAGGTGCGCCCAGCGATTGCTAGCAAGGGCCTATAAAAACTGTTCGCCAAAGAGACCTTTAATAAGAAGTTAGCAACAGGAACATGACAGGTTGTTGAGGAACATCAAGATACTCGTAAGAAGCGCCAAATCCATCATACTGAAATCAATCATATCAACGGTTAGCTGTACATCCTAATGCAAAAGAAAGAGATTTCAGCAATACGGATGTTTCGTTGAAGACTACTAGTGAACAGCTATTAGCAAACTTATGTCTGTAAACAATAGATAAACATTGGCAGTAATATAAGAGATACATACAAAAACTGCATAGACTTACAAAATTCGGCAGAAAAAGGCATTGCATTTACGCTATACATAAAAGTTGCAACAAAGAAACGACTATGTGAGCGACAAAATTTAACCTGATTTCTTCTTTCATAGCGTCACTTTGACAAAAATTGTTAGTTAATTGGCTACAAAAATTTTATAAGTTGTATCCGCCCTGTTTAATGGATTTGAACTCTGAACCTTGACGAACGAGGAAATCAGCAGGCCTCAGTCCTGGCAGAGCAAATATATTTTTCATCCGCAAAGCCGAAGTAAGTTAGCGATATTTTCAAAGCAGGTAAACATTTGCTTCCTCAAAAAGAAAAGATCCTGGATCAGACTGAACATCTATGAGAAATAAAAATCCTGGTGTACAAAGCAACAAAGCACTCTGCAGACGTGAGACAATTGCTCAAGCAGCCTCCAATACAAAAACAATCTTGCGGTCGCCTACCCTACTTAGCCTCGAAGATTGACAATACAGTCGCTCTATGCTTCCGGATCTGCAACAGTGGCCCTTGCTGTCTACACATTGCTTGACTGAAACTGAACTGTAGTCTGTGCTAAAGACAATTGGAAAAGGTGAGGTGGAATTAAACGGTGCTTGACAAATTTTTTTTGACGGCCTGAGAGCCGGGCCACTGTCTGTCCCAAAAACTAAGGTCTATCTTGGACAACATCCACAGACAGTATCTTGGTACTGATGCTGAATCTGCACAGTACAGTACAAATACAGCCTCGTATGCGGTTACGACAAGCCGGGTTAAATAGAGGGGCATAAACGCTGCTGCGGCGAAGGGCGACAACGCCAGATGAAATTGCAGGGTTAGCTGTTTCCAAAACGCTCCCTATAGTTTCGCTGCTGAAAATAGGCTTATCGTTGAAGTTGATGAATAAACATATAAAAAGAACAGCATATTATTCGTTTAAAAATAAATGAAATAATATTTTATTTCGTATGCATTTCTTAAAGATTAGACTAGTGCGACGTTCGAAGTGACTTTTTTAACGAGAGCAGTATCTGCCACGGCATTATTCAAAATTGCATCTACCGTAAATGCGCCAAAAACAAGCATAACCATAAACTCATTTCATAAACTAAGTTAAAACTTATTGCTGGTAGATGCATACGTTTCTTGACAGCTTGAGGGTTCTCTTCGCCTT